CACCTTGGCCCCTCTTTGGTGGACTCTGGTGGTTTCCTGGTCGATCTGACCCTAAAAACCTGAGGATGAAAAACCAGCKAATGATTCTGGCAGATCAACCTCCCCCATGAATTTTGTTTGCGCCTGAATTCATGAACCAGGGATCTTTTCCTTTGAACTTCCTTCCCTCTTCAGAAATAGTTCAAAGCAGTTGGAGAACACGAATGCCAAAATCAAGCCTGAAAACCACCACAGCCTCCCTTKAAAACCCTGCATTTTTCTCCTGAGAGTTCTGCTGTTGCTTTCCATGGCTTGTCAAACAACCCTGTTCAGATTTAGCACAGGATCTGCTGTTCCCATTCATCACGAGTCTCAGGACTGAGGCACTCCAGCTGCTCCAGGGCTATACCCTTAAAAGTGATCTTGCTGTGATGTTACAACTGCCTGTTGTTATGACCTTGGCTATTTTTGACAAAGAGATAAAGATGAAATAGGTTCTTGTTCCTAATGACAGCTTGTACAAAACATCCTTTCCAAGGAAAACTATGTTATCCATATGTATACGTTCGGGATCAGGCTATGCCAGACAGCAGCACTAGAATCTCTCTCCCCCAGGTGACACAGCAAGAAAGATGCTTTGGCATTATTAYGCCAACATCTCTTTAATTACACCTGGGACAAGCACTGTATTTTGTCTCGAAATTAGCAACAAATCAAACACTTTGAAAACCATTTTRTTTTTTCACTACAAGCTCTGTGTTTGTTTACTTGGAAGTTTCTCAGCCTGGCACACACAATTTTGGAAGGTTCTTGCTTTTAATTCAGTTTTGGCTGAACTTTCTTTTTCCTACCTGTTTCCTCCTGTTTTGAGAATTCCCTATTAACCAGAAAGATTTCTGCAACCTTCCTCACAATAAAAATTGCTCATCAAAGTCAAAATGGTCTTCAACAAAATGATCTGATTAACATCTTGAAAGATCTAGACCACTTTGGATGATTTCAGTGGGAGCCTTGTTTAGATTCAACTGAGRTCTTTTCAGCTGCTTTTTCAAAACTATCCCAGCAACATCCTAAACACTTATTTAAAGCAGATGAAAAGTCCTACTTGTGTTAAATTAAGGTTAAGCTTAAATTCCTCGTTGGATGGGGGCCTAAGGGTCTGCAAATGCAGATGGCTATTAGCAAGACCCAGAAGAGGCCAGGTAACCACCAACAGGCAATTATATCCCCACCAGAACTTCAAGCCAGTATATCATACTGTTTGAAGCTAATTGCTTTGAAATAATTGGAAAGGTGAGCAGGTAAGCTCACACAGAGCAATTTTGCTTTGTATTTTAAAAACCAACACTCCAGATTGCATGGACAAAACAGGYATGATTTAATAAAACAAGTTGAAAGGGAAGGGAAAGATATGCTGTGGTTTTTTTAAAGGATTTTCCTTTTAGTTTTTAGCATCATTAAAATGCTGCAAACATTTTATTCAAGAGCTTCTTTAGTTAATACCTCATTACTTCTCTTTTTATTGTTATGGTAATCAAGCCTTAATATATTGCAGCTTTATAGCATGAAATCAAGGCTAGGCCTGTGGGCATGGACAGATGTACACCAGCATGCAGTAAAACACAGGTACAGAGACATGCAGAGCTGAATATGGCACTGGGGTTTTTTATAATTGTTTAGCAATTCATCTGAAGTTATTTTAACCTTGACAACAGATGAACTCTAACATGTACCGTGATCAGTCACCGGAAAGCTGCACTGAAAAGCAAGTTTTGTCATTGTTGTCTTACAGGCTGGGTTCTAGGAAAGCATGAAACCAAGTCTGAGCRAGATGATTAAATTGCTTGCATGACTGCAGGCTGTAGCTGTAACTATTCAAAACATTTAATTGAGAATATTTTAGCCAAGGGAGAGTGGAAATGCTGGGGAACTGCATTTTACACCAAAACTTTGCCTCTCCACGGAAAATTGGGACTCAGTRTCAGAATTCAGACCCTCTCCAGGCAGAGGCACACCAAACAAGAAAAGCATTTGGGTCTGACTTCTGGTTCTGAAATGACACTTGAACCTTGTGCTGGAGCTCTGCTTATGGTTGAATTTCACCCATCRAATCAAGGGAAAGTTATTTCTAACTTCTAGAAGTTATAATGGCCGTATCTGCAGGGTGTTGAAAAAGCATCTCAGAAAGAGTGAGTGTGCTTAGATCTTCCCCAAGTAAATGACAACAYACGACCCCCAGTGTCAGGGAKGCTCCACTTCTCAGCAGTGCTTTCRGGAGAGATCATTCAGGAAACCATTCCAGCTCCTGAGAGATTTTCTAAATTTAAAGGGAGTGTTTTGGCTGGCGATCCCTCTCCCAGYGAAAGCGCTTCAAACAGCCAACATGAAAAGCAATATGCCTGCAACTGCATAAAATCCCTGATCCTGAGGAATATATTGGGAAGTTCTGGAGCCCCATGGGTTTGGGATGGCACCATTCAGCCACCAGCCTCAGTTTCTCCTAAGCACAGCCTTGCAGAAACATCCCAAACAGCCTTTGTCACTGCAAATATGTGACCTTTATTAGCTACCCAATATTCATTAAGGAACAGGAAGAAGGTAGGTACAGGTGACACATTATTCCAGTAGAAAATTGTTTTCCACATAATGACTGGATAACAGTGAGACACGACTTAACACATTGATCATGCATCAGAACAACCTGGTTAACCTCAGTGAGGCAAAGCTTCCAGCTTCTCTCTTTCTTGGAAATACTGGGAATAACAATGTGCTGTATTTAGCTGAGATCTGCTCATTTAAACCTTGGGATTTAAAGTCTCCTAACAATAGAGGCCAGTCACCCAAATTTCTAGAGTCAAGCACAAAGGTGAGCAGCTCTCAGGTGCAGTGAAAGCTAACTTCCATGGGGTCATTCCCTTGTAGGAGCATTCCACAGGGCAGAGCTTGTGGGATCAGACCTTGGGACAGGAACATGTATTACCCAGCATATAACAAGAGGAATGAAAGACAATGGGCACTATAGGCCAGCAAACACACTAATTATATTAATAAAATGAAAGCTTAAATTTTGAAGCTAATCCTGGGCTATCATTTATAAAAGTTAACGGGGCATATTTAATTTAGGAATTGGCTAACRCTTCTCTTTCCACCGCTGAAACCTCATAAATGAAATATACTGGATCCCTGCCCAGTGCGGAAATAAAAGTTATGAATAATGTTTCTATCTCAATCATTGTCAGTGCTTTAATATTCCTAATTACTTTAAAAAGCTAAATATTCAATATAGGAAAAACCTTCTTTTTCTTTTATCTCCACTTGCAAGATTAGAGCAATTTAATAAGAGTCACTGGGTAGTTTTAATCCACAAGACTATTCTGTACTTTGACATCTTTCCTGGTCATTTTTACACAGAATGAAGTGGTTGTTACTCTCTGTGCACATGTGTATGAATGTATCATCTGTATCYGTATGTCCATATTGTCACAGTATTCTTTTCAAATTATTTTAAACTTCTCTAAATGTACATGCACTGTACAAACATTCACTGTTAGGCTGAACTAAATCTAGTACTAAGAATAATCACAAGATAAAACGAGTTCCTGAGAATTTATGCAAGATCTCACAACTGATGGCACTATTTTTCTTTCTAAAAATACTATTAAAGCTAGATATTCAAACAGTTATGCTGCCCAGTTTTTCCTTTGTCTACATTCCAGGTAATCCCAAAATGTTGCTTCAAACCCTATGGCATAATCTTTSTTTCCAYCATTGGAATCATATAATCCCAGAAYGGGCAGGGATGCCACCCCCACACCAGGTTACTGAGTCCTGTCCAATCTGGCCTTGAACACTCCCAGGATTGGATCATCCACTTTCCCTCTGGATTAAAGTCCTTCCTCCYTGCTCCATCCCTATTCCCTTTTCTACTGGAACTGAGGGGACATTCAGCAGAGCTGCAGACAAAACCCCAGGAACTTGTCAGGTCTTCAGCCTCTGGTTGTGTTTACCCACATTTGCCTCACATTCCTTTCTGACATCTCCCTCTATAGATCCCTTCTCTGTTACCTTCTTGCCYGGTAATGCTGCTTCTTTCTTAAGATCCCAATCAATTTGGGAGAAAGGGAGGAAACCAACACAAAAGGAAACATCCATTCAGTTTCCTTGCACAGCACCTCTCCCCATGCAGCTTTATTTACTTGCCTGATGCACAAATTGACTTCATTTAACAAGCTTATTTCTCTTATGTCAATAATGTCTCAGGCCTGTGTTAGATCACATTCGGATGTTTGTGCTGCCTGTTCCATTCCAGCATGCACCAACCACTTAAACTCACCATTCCCAATTAAGAAAGTTTAACAAACACAGCTTTGCCAGCTGAAAGAATTGAAAGCCTCAAGTGTGGATTAATTCCCTAGCAAAAAGGTACAGAACTTCCAACTCCTATTTCCCTAATTTTGGCAGTATGGATTTAAGGAATGGATTGTAAGTCAGAGGAGAGAGTMTGGGCTGCCTGAAAAGTCAATGGCAAAACTCCCACTGGCTTGAACAGGACAAKAATTCTATCTGGAAACAGTGCATTCCAAACAGCTCCTACACTCYACAGAGTATTTCAGGAAGAATGTGTTGTATTAAAGATTTCAGAGAGAAAAAATTCTTGATAGAGCTCTATTATCTGTACTGGTATCCTTATWACATGACCAGATGCATAAAGAGCATCCTCCATTACATTTCAYATTTCCTTGCAAAACACAACCAAAAAAGTCCAATGTCATTAACCTAGGAAAGAGTATTCTCACATATTTATGATACCACAGAATGGTTTGGGTTGGAGGTGACCTTAAAGGTCATTTTGTTCCAACCCTCACAATAACATGAATTCTTACAAATTAACCAGCGGACAGTCTTCATTTTTCCATTTAAATCATCCCTTTAAAGCATCCAAGTTCCAAGGCCACTGCTTTATAAGGCCTGGCTTTTAATAGCAACACATATTTTTATCATATTTTGGTATCTTTACTCACCACTTGAGCAATCAGTCCCTCCCCAGCCTGGTTCACAGTGACACGTGTCAGGAGAGACACATCTTCCATGCACGCACTCCTCTGTGCACAGCGCTGTTAAGAGGAAACAACACACAGCATTGTAAACATAGTAAGTGGTTGCTAAACATACCCTAAACAATGCCTTAGAGAGCAATATTTTGTTTAAAAAATATTAAACACAGCAAGCACACACAAAAAAATAATTACTTGCAAGATCTAATTATTGCTAAGTGACCAAAATAAAACCCAGGTCTCTTGACAGCGATAAATTCATTTGTCACTTCAGCTCTTTGTAATGAAAAACTTAAACACCAGAAACTCCTTTGGCTAGCAATTTTGCTAGCCAAAATAATAATAAAGTTTTTACCAAACTGACATTTATTATTATTATTTTATTACACAATAGCAGGTTCTTATATTGCACTCAAACTGCAACTGCTCATAAGATAAAATGGAGCTCAGGCTTGAAAGYGTATTAARATCCAAAATARATTTKTAAAAAARCAACRCTGGCAAAATAAAAAATTTTATTCCATGAAGCAGTGGCTATAAGTGTAGTTGCATCTTCTCAAGGTCATCCAGTTTTCCATAACTGTCTCACTCATGGAATATTGGAAGTTCAGTATCCTCAAGTTCAAACCAAGACAATCTGGTTGGCTGAGGAACAATTCATAGTTTTTAGGATTCTCTTCTCCTGTGCTGTTTCAGTGTCTGACAGTTTCCAGTGTGCACCCATCACATACTGAAAAACTAGCAGAGTACTGAATAACTGCTTTAAAGGCTGAGCTTTACTGCTTACTACCTTGTTTCTGTTTTCCCACTTAGGACATTGCCAAAACCTCAGTGTGTCAGAGACCCGAACTGGATGGTTAAGCTGGAACACATCATTTCCTCTACACTAACACGTATGAGTTATTAACAAATATGATGCAGTGGCAATGAGGTCACAGTATTAAACTGCATGTACACATATGTAATATACAGATATCATGTACATGATTTAGGTCATATAGAACCTGTATTTGCACATCCCGTGTTTTTTTATCAGATGGGAAATGTGGGTATTGAGTTTACTTAATCAAGAACTGGCTGAAGCTGGACTACAAAAGACTTCTTCCAAGACAAAGAGAATTCCTTCCTCTCTAAACCAAGGCCAGTAAAGCTGACTTGGGAAGCAGCTTTGCATTACTTTATGGAAAATGAGGCTGAGCCACACAATTTCTCTGGAATCAGCCAGCAAACCTTCTGGGAATTGCCCTGCCCTGCAGGTGAAATACCCTTCCATTCCCAGATACYCCCTGGGATAAAAGTTCTCCACTGATGCCTTGTAGCTTTCAACAATTCCTGCTACACCTGACATTCCAGTTGGACTCCCAGAMTGGATCACACCTTGGACCCACACTCAGGCTGCCACCAAACTCATGGAAACATTTTGCTGCCTATTCTATGCTTGGGTCATTGCATACCAAACCCACTGTGCTGTTCACAAAATATTTAAATCTAACTTTAAAATGCAGGTAAATTTAGAATAATCCTATGGGACAAACCCTCCTGCTCTTTATCCAGCAGGTCCCACGTGATCAGTGATTAGAACGCTGCCTCGTTAAAACGACTGCAAGATCTTTCTAAATTAATCATTTCCTTTCTACGTTTGCTGCATGTCAAAAATGCAATTTATTCTTATTTCATATCTTGTGTTTAGACAGTATTGCAGTGGGCATGAAATATTCATAGCTAATCTCTAGTCACTAATTGTCCTAATCTTTTGTGCATTTATTTTACTCGAGTTAGGCTTTCTGGAGACAGGGAGGCRTCCTACTCTCCAGCTGTAAGATGAAATTCAGGACAGGCTATTAGCTACACAGGATTTTCCAATAAAAATATACAYGTTTTCATGCTATTATTTGAAAATGGCTGGTTATCTAGAACAAGGAGAAGTCCACATATAGAACAGCCACAAACTTATAACTTGTTATTCAAACTACATTGTGCTAAAAGATACAGGATAAGCTGGGATAGGATACTTGGGAATTGTGCCCTGCACAGCTTTAGCTGAAAGAACATTTCTCCTGGATGTGACATCTTACTTTTGTAAGAGTTGTGGAAGKCAAGCCTGAGATTTTCCTGTTGCCTGTTTGGACATTTACAATAATAAACACTCTAATATGTAAAGTGTGTAGCATTTTTTTACTCTTTTCACTGGGCAACCTTCTCAGCTCAAGGCAAATATGGTGAGCAAGAAGGTTAATGGGGAGACTAGTTCTTTACTCTTCCAAATAACCAAACTCCTGCACATTACTGGTCTAAATTTAGTTGATTTCCATACTACTTTATCACACCTTAACCATGTTAAAATAAATATGAAATAATAGTAAATAATTAAGCAATAAAATTTCCCTAATCACTTGTCTAGCTGCAGTCTCACAGGAACAGTGCAATGTGACACTTAGCAGCAAGATTCAAGAGAGAATTCCTCATTCTAAAACACTCAGTGACATGAAAAATAATAAAAAATATGTTATAAAGAACTGTGTCTGTCCTTGTTTTCAGGTGTTCTGAAGCCCMACATTGCTGAAGTTGACAATGTTTAATGAGTAATTAAAGATTCAAGTAAGGTGAAGATGCTTCTTGGAACTGTGGGATYTCTCATCTCTGGCTGATTAATTGCTAAACAAGTAGCTGTGAGCTCAGAGCTCACTAGTGACTAATCCCAAATGTGGGGATCACAGAAACCCCTCTTTTTAAAACAGAAGCTTTGATAGAAGTAATTTTATTTTAAATGGCAAACAATCAGGCTCCTGCACTGACTGATTCAAATTAGGCTTATAAAGGTCATATTAGGGTACAASTCTAAAGTTTTACCATAGCAAATAAAATTTTGTATTTCTCCTATAAAAGGGAAGTGTTGCCTTGCTCAAGTCTTTAGAGTTTAAATTAATTTTTCATTCTATTAACATTCAACATAATAGGATRCAATGGTCCCCAAGGCATTCCTCATAATACACTTTGTACAATGGTTTGCAAATGATCTTACTAGTTAATGGAACTATAAAAATTACTTGCACATAAAGGTCAAGAAAAATAAAGATAAGTATATACTTTCTGACACTGTCCTGTTCAAGACTCAGCTAAAGGTCTCTGGAGAAAAGAAAATTTGTCCTAATGCAAGGAATATAATTCCTCCYTGTATAATAGCCCCAGCACTTCAACCTTTGGAATTCCAGACTTTTTATGTCTGCATTTTCCCTCGACCACTTCACTTGAGCAATCCAGCACCTCATTGATCAGTGTATTATTAGCATTCTTGGCATGAGTTTGACATCAGTTTGTAGTTTGATTCAGCCTGGTAATAAAATGACCTACATCAAAGCCCTGCCAAAATGCCATCTTTGTCGCAATGTGTTTAGCATGAGTTATTTGCCCACATTCAAGGTTACACAGCAACTGCTCCTTATCATGCAATAAAGGCAACAAAAGGGTTCTATAACAATCCATTTGATGCTTATCACTTACTTTATAATTACAGACTGGGCTTTTTTTAATATATAAGGTCAATCCTCAGGGAAATAGACCTAAAGATTAAACTCTTTTCACACCTGAAATGGATGCATTGAGGAACGGTTGTTAGAGGAATGGATTCCTCTAACATTGGTGCTTATTCTTTAATTGTTGCTCAGAATTTGAATTCAGATATGATAAATGGTTTGTCTGTGTCTCCACTAAGGTATGAAGTGGCCAGAATATTGCAATGAGAAGAGTTCAGTGGAGCAGGCTGAAGAACAGTTCCACTGCAGAGTTCCTTCAGCTGAGGGGCACTGCAGGGAGTTTATCCCAGACAAAAGCACAGATGAAGAGTTGCACTGTCTTCCCTAGCACTGCATTCCTCTGTACGGACCCAAACCATGACATTCCAGGGTTTAATTTCCTTGTTACACACACTGTGTCACMCTGCTCATCACCACATCATCAACCCACCACTGAGCTGCCACAAGCAGCCTCTTTCCCAGAGGTCAAATTGCATTTAGGGAAGAGTTTCATAAYGTGTGCTGGGGGGTATCCAGGGGGTTTCATCTCTGCGTGTACCACAAGCGTCTCCTGCCTTTGAGATCGGCTTGGCTAGCACTTCCTGGTGCTGTGCAGGAGATAACCCACGCATGGGCAAAACACCTTCCCCAGGGGACTAGCAGTCCTACGTTACCAGAGATGAAGAAGCAGAGTGCTCAGCCGTGTGGTTTATTCCAGGACTTTATTCCCKAAGGGACCAGGGACGAAAGAGRGAGCCGCGGGCTTACCTGGCTACTGATATATCCCTCAGGGCCAGTCACCTGAKGAGCTGGGCGGGGAGASAAGGTAAAGGRGAACAYAACAACCAATAGGAGAAGGGGTAGGCGGGGAGAGAGATCACATCAAATCCAACCAGGACATCARGATTTACATATTCATRGCAAGAACAATTTCATTCCCAGGGGGGTTWTCAAACTAYTTCCACCRTTGTGTGCTGAATATCTCAGGACTGTCTAACCCTTTAGCATTTTCTGGGGTGGTTTCATCTACCACAACAGTTTCATCCTAGGGGAAAAAGTGGAGTGATTCAGCTCGGAAAAGTTTTGTTACCTTGTCCAAAAGTACAACCTGTGCATTTATTTCACAAAAGACWGAGTCACAAACAATCTAATTTTTGCTTGCACTGGAGTGTGGTAACATTTGCAGTGGTCCTTGGAACCTGAGGGAGTTCACAACCACTAACCCAACAACTTCCATCTGCCATTCTGCCATGCCAGACAAACAAAATATCTCTGAAACAAAGACCAGGATGACTACAAAGTGTGAAGAACCCAGAACAGAAAGCAAAAATCAGACTCCACRAGCTGTGCTCACTCACAGCAGTGTGTGCTGCTGGAGAGCTGTGCTGGAGCATTCTGTACACGCTGGAGTTCCCTGGGCTCTGCGGGATTCCTGCCCAGGATCATAGAGCAGCCAGGAGGTGACAGAAAGCATAAATAACTGCAGATACATTATGATAATGGAAAACATTGCTAAATGGAGATATGGATGCTGCTATGAGACACAAT